TATGTATTTATTTATTCATTGAAGCGTGTGATGTCCAATTAATTTTTTATTTATAAAAGAAAACACAGACAATATACAAAGCCAAAACAGATAACATTGATAAACAAAACATAAGTCAATTAAGTACATTTTACACATAGAGTACATTAATAGATAAAAAACAACTGAAATGAAACATTAAAGAAACGACTAAGTAGTAAATATTTTTGAAAAAATACTAAATTGTTACTACTCCTAAATAAAGTCAAAGTCTTCCCGCTTTTTACAGTATTTCCCAATTTCACAGACAATTTTCTCCAAGGTGGAAAATGTCTACATCTTGATAATTTGTGTTATACTCGTAGTTAGCTAAAAACGTTTTTTTACTGGGCCGTGAGGGGAGGCAATGCATTTATTATACTGGTAAAGATTCAGTATAGAACAGTGTTGGTTCCCAAAAAGTCAACAGCGTGCGTCAGACATAGAAGGCTGATTACCTACTTGCCTATTAGATTACCAAAATGATCACGAAACAGATACAGAAATCTGAGGCCCAGACCTAAAAAGGTTGTATCGCCATTGATTTATTTTTTAATATGGATTCAGTATAATTCTACCAATTAAGGCATATTATTATTAGATTCTTTTACAGTTTTAGACTTAGTAATCTCAACTAATACTTTAACTGGATAGTTTAGCTTTTACTATACCACAGGTATCATCCGGACGCACGTACGAAGCGCTTTTGGCCCTGCCGCTCAAAGGGCCTTATACGCAGAGTTAGGCTCAACTCATTGTAATTTATGGATGTCCACAGAACTGTGTATGGAATTCTAAACCTCGCGATAAAAGGATCAGCCGATACGGGTCGGAATGACCCCGTGACGGCGGTTTAAGTTTAGTAACAGTAGTACGCTTGAATGTTAAGTGTATTTGACGTTTAAAAAATGCGGTCAGGTGTAATTTACGTTTTAAACATGTCTACTAGTACTGTTCTAGTGTTAAGGATAATTCTTATATTTAAATGAGTACAGGTCTTTGTATCTAAACAATTTCGCTACCTTAATTCTATTAAGATTGATAGCATTGTAGATGAATAAATATCATTATACAAATATATCAAAATAGGCATGAAATTTAGCGCAGTTAATGTCTAGATTTAAGGGAGCGTAGGTCAGAAAAGCGTTTGAGACCTCCTGAACTATTCAGTTTAGCGTATTTAATATTTTATATCCCATCATTTAATTAATAATAATAGACGACACTTTGGAAGGAGTTCGCCGCTTAAAAGGTTCTATATCGTCCTCAGAGTAATATGAACCTGGAATTTTGACATGTTTTATTTTTGAGTGAAATCTATTTAACATAACAAACTATTCAGATTATTTAAATATTTTATAATGAACGTTTAATTAACAATAGGCAATACTTTGGAACGAGGTCGCCGGTTAAAAGTTTTTATATGCTCCACAGATTAATATGAACGTGGAATTTTGTCATGTTGTGTTTTTAATCTAATTCCATTTTCAAAATTGAATTTATACCCCCGCAAGAGGCCGTAAATAAATTACCTCACCAATCCGAAGGAACGTTAATAAGTTAATTCGTGTTCAAATCGCGCGCGTGTTAGTTGAGGCCATATCTAATGAGCGACTATTGTGAATTGTCTGTGAATTATGGTCCGAGGTAAAAAATGCGTGATGTGGTGTATTAATGGGGTATTAGCGATCTACGGTAGTGTTTAGCATACTCGTGTAAGGGTTGGAACTTTCGTAATGTGAAACTAGGATAAATATTGCTTGCACATTGGAATAGTGATTAGTAGAAAAGTTGTTATTGAAGATGATAATAAAACATTTGGTACGTAGAAAGTTTATCTCGAAATAAAAATTAAAAATTTGTTTATTCATGATAAACAATGCATAATGTGTAAGATTTGGGAACCCTTTTGAGTAAAAACCAATTTCGTAACAATTTTTATTTAGTTTTTTCAATTGTATTTAATTTATAGACTGTTCTACACATCTTTTTAACAAAATGCATTACGTGACGCGTAACACGTGAGTACATGAGTGAGCGTGTGGGTCATGTGAGTGAGTGAGTGTAATGTCTCAGGAGCATCTCCAACTCTGCGTAAGGTGTGTTCATAAGCCAGTTTTAACGTTTTTTGTGACGGCGAGCGGGTAGATCAGCCTATTTAATTTATTATAGATGTAGTCTGTCTGCGAAATGATATGTTACTTGAATGATATATTTTCGCATTCACGAATTTGTTTCTTACATCACAAACATAAATCATGGCCATCAGACAGGATATTAACGCCACCTCAGCAAAATTTTAATGGTTAGCAAGTGTGGACAACCTAAACCTAAATTATTGATGATTAAAGCATGAAAAATCTATTAATAAAAAGTAATCGATTTTTTTATGTTTGTCGATTATTTCCTAATTTTTGAGTTTTAAAGTTTTATAATAATAACCCCTAACCACTTTCACGCACCGGAAACAGTTAACCTAACCTAAACTAACCAAACAATAAATAGTAATAGGTTTTTTGGACAGCTCCATAATTACATTACCAGAATTTTTGCCGCGGTGGCGTTAATACGTACCTGATTTTTTTGTTAAATCCTTTTTTTTAAATTTCCGTTCTTAAAAAATCCTGCCTGTACATTTTAAATTTTATAACGTTTAATAAAATATAACTTAATTATCACTGTAATTATTTACAGTTATACTGAGTTTATCGACCCCATTCGATTACCAATGATGAAATATAGTTCAAGAGTACACACATCTCGACACCATAAAGACAAAATATTTCTCGGAATATTCGAGACAATCGCCTAAAAAACAATTAAATCGTAATTAAAGCCCGTATTAAGACGGTTGGCATGCGTCTGCGCATTACACTGTTTTTGGGGATAGGGAAGTGGCGCAATATCGCTATTTTATACTAACGATATTATACAAAAACTAAGTACTACTTCGTCCAACACAAGTATACAGTATATCCAATATTATTAACCTAAATTACTATAATAATACATTAGCAAAGCAATACATTATTTTTATTTACCAACAAATATACAGTATGTATATACAGTAAGTATATGAAATAATAATTAGAAACTAGAAAATTAAAACATATTTCAAAAAATGAATTCTTAAAAGCTGGCTGCCATATTGCGATTGATGATCATATTGCTTATAAACTAATATTATCTTAATAAATCTTTATACATTAACATATTTGAATCGGTTGATAATTTTAAAACGAAAGGTGACTTGGCGCTTCGTATAATATTGAGATTACTATGAAAATTTCCTCAGTTTAAAGGTTTCTCAGCAATGTGTGAAACTAACATTTAGCGAGCAACATGCTATTTAGCTAATACATGCAAATTATAATCTGATAATCGTTTCTTATATATTTTATGATTCGCACATGTGCTTGTGTAAATGTCTTTAAATAGTAGGTCGTGTTTTACAAATTTATACAAGTTTCTTTCACTGGTAAATAATATTGCTTTATCTTTAGGTAATTTCTAGAAATACTAAAATTATTTCAGTACTGTAGCTGCATATTTTATCTGAGTGATTTAAGTAGTACATACTAACAAAGTAACGGCAATAGTTTTCCTGTTTTTATTAACTGACGTTTTATACACAAATATCTTACAATATCTATAATGTTGCCACAGCAAAAGAGGAGACGCGAGTCCTGCCTGCCTGCGGGCTCCGACTTGCCCATAAATATCATGAGGATATTCCCGCTGCCCAGGCCAGAATAGGTCATCGTTCAGTGAATGAAGTCCCTATTTAGGAAAGGGGAGAATAGACACTCCCCTTCTATGTAGCTTTTCGGCCACATATCTGCCTGATCGCGTGGTTGGTAGGCTATTAGGGGTATATATATATATATATTTGGATGTTGCTACTTTCAAGTGTATTTATTATATTTAAAATAAAAACAATTTTAAATCGCCACTACAATAGATTGCAATGTCCCACAAAACTATCGATACATACGAACATCACTGTTCGTACCATTTAAGGGACAATGCGGCTTCAAAACAATCACATCTTCATTAATTACAAGTGGAATTTTTACTAAGGCTACCTTAATAAGACAGGATAAAAACCTGTTGAATCCCAATGCTGTCCTTTTCAGGAGAAAACACGTCGTTATGATTTCATAATTCACTTTGCGTTTTTATGTCTATGTGTAGAAGCTTTGGATTTTACAATACGCCGTTTTTGGCAATCGTATATAATAATAATAATAAAGCATGATTCAAATTTATTTTGCAATCAATTTATAACACAATAATGTTATTTACATTCACTTAAAAGCGGCAACAGACTTATAAGCTTCTGCAAAGTGCCAATTAACTCTTCATTTATGTAATTAAAGTGTGAATGAATCTGAGGCACTTTTGCCAGTTGCAATGGTGTAGAATTAATTGAGGTTTTGATTCACATTACTTGACCGTATTCAAGGAAGAGCGATTCGAATCGTCGACGACCAGTCACTTTCCGAGCGTGGGGAGTCTCTCTGTATCTTCTTTCGAATTTACCATGGAGAGTGTTCAGAGGATTTGTTCGGATTAATGCAGCTACATCATTGGACGTCGAGGGAGAATACGAAATTCAACCCGTATCACCTCGACGTCCGTCCGAAAAGAGTGTAGCAAATCTTAAAAGGCCGCCAACATACTTTCGAGCTCTCTAGCAATGGGCGGCGCGATATGTGTATATGTGGTCAGATGAGCCCCTGTTATATAAAAAGAAATGTAAAATAATTAAATATAATTAAACTAGAAGCTGCTATGTGCTATTTAACATTATCGATATATGAAACCAAAATAACCCGATCCATTTATCTTTGTTCCAGTTACAATGACATCAAAGAAACGGTACCGCGCTGCGAGATAGTGAAGAAATGACGCAGAAAACAGGGAAAGGGGTGGAGATGACTTGATTGTGCGAGTGTTTTAAATGATGATAGGACTTTATAATGCCTGATCGGGAAGTGCCTGGAAGCGGTTTCTTGCCTCTGCAGTTTCCTTCGGCTTTCGCTGCGTTCCACGCGACAGCTGCGCAGGCGCCGCCGGGCACCATGCACCACGCGACGCATTACCATCATCATGCTCAGTAAGTTAATTATATGTATTTTAAGCTGTAATGCAACTCTACTAAAATATAAGTCTATAGAGTCTATGCGAGTTAATACCGGTACGTAGAGTCCTTGATTTAATATATATAGTATATCACTTGCAGGAACAAATGTTAATAATTCTAAATTGTCTATCTAGAATATAGATATATAGATTCTATATATATCTATACAAATAAGTAAATTTGTAATTATATAGGTTATATTTTTAAACTTTAAGAATACATCTCAATACACTTTGGTATATAGAACATTTGAAAAGAAGCCTTTAATCAAGACTTGTTTACCATGTAAAGTAATAATAATAACACTTCATTTATCACAATAAGACAAAACAGTAAAAATAATATAAGGATGCAAATGGGCGGTCTTACTTAAGTCGTTTCTTATACACAAAGTAGAGCATCTTTTAGTAAATTATAATATATGTATTTCGTTGGTTAACTTGACAAATGAATAATGAAATAGTTGCCACAGTAATCAACGTGCAGGTTAATTAATATCGAACAAATCGCGCTAATATATCAACTGACATTTTGCTCATAATTACTTCATTCAAGAATGCTTTGCATTTTTGCATCTCAATTTACAGACAGCTGCCTTTCGAGTCACCTTCAAGTAACACAAAATAATTGTGCCTCCTTAACGTTACGACATTTTTGTCTACCACGTTTGACAAAGAATAGCTCTACTGAAGTATTTCCGAACCAATTTGACTAAGGGTCCCTTCAAGTAAAGAGCGTACCATTTCTTAAAAGGCCGGCAACGCACTTGCTTCCTGATAATGTGAGTGTCAATGGGCGGCGGTATCACTTAACATCAGATGAGCCTCCTGTTACAAAACTTTAACAAATCTTTGGGCGTATTTTGTGCTATAAAATAATTTTCACTTAAAATAAATTTACTCCTTTTATGAAGACACCTTGCTAATTGCAATCTTCGCTTAGCCAATGAATTAATCGATACTTAACTACAATGTTATGTTTTAATAAAATTTAATTTACAGCTATTAAATAATCCAGTTTATCTTTGAGACTAAATTAATTTTAGTGCTTCTTGCATTAAAACTTGTTTTGTTTTAATATCTTTTTCTTTATAGGTATCGAACACTTAAAATAACTAGAGTAGGAATAAAATAATTACGAGAAAAAATAAGCTTTTCTATCGTAAGCTTTTGAGTTCCACACGAACGATGAATTAATCGTGTAAAAACGATTAAGTATAAAAATGCCTGGTTCTATTATTTTTAAATTAACTCTGTCTATAAAACAGGGCCAGAAAAATAATTACAACGTATGTACTGTGCATTAATTGCTTTATTTTTCACATGACATTCAAGTTAATAATTCTGCATTTAGTTTATTACATTTTAATTGCATTCACTTATCGTATTATATTCGAACGGGTTAAGCGTATCGGATGTATTCATCTACATAAGTAATTTTATCATTCGCGAGGCAAGTGTCTTTTCATATCGTTTCATGTCCTCGACTCATTCCGAAACGCCAGCTCCGTTTATTGGACTAGACCATAAAATTGAGTGGTTCATTAAGCATTTGTATTCATACACGCCGCAAGTTCATTGCGTAAGTGCTACCTTATAACGCGATAGTCCCTCACAATCTGCTAGCTTTGCTGTCATTAGGGAACCGATTTATTGAGCCGGGAGCAGGTAAAAATTTAGATTAGAGTCGCCATATTAAAGTTTACGGTCGCATAAAACTCGCTTCGGTGAGACAAGGTGTTACTTAATAATAATTTATTGCAATACGAGACCCTGACGATAACATTAATCTCCTCTAACCGGACAATGAAAAAAGGATCCATCGGAGGTATAGACAGGAAGTCATCAAAGGAATTGAGACATTTATGTTAGAACGGACGTAAATAAAAGCAATCGTTTCAACAAATGACTTGGTCGCAGTTTTCAAAGGATAGGTGATGTATGTAGGCGCACGGCTCGCTCGACTGCAATGATTAATGTTCTGGCCGCAGCATCCCAGGATATTAAAATTTTAAAACGTTAATTTACTAAACAGTTCACTTTTAAAACGTTGAGTGATGTGACGGCCCGCGGGCCCGGTACAGTTGCAATATTTTAAACTTTATTGTTCTCAGTCTTAGCATCAATGGGGGCTTTGTGAAGAGAACTGGTGTAAATCAGTGCTGGGAAGTCTACTAAATCATTCGCGTGAGATGGAGTCGATCCAATAATTAGTTGTTCGTATTTCTAAATTTTACTACTAGGAGCTTTTAATACAATATTCTCATTATTAGACTGCAGTACTTCACCAGTGTTATCTTCTATTTTTTGGTAGAACAGGGAGCCTTCTCCCTGTTTGGCAGAAGACTAATCTGATGTTAAGTGATACCGCCGCCTATGGAAACTCTCAATGCCAGAGGGCTCGCGAATGCGTTGCGGACATTTTAAGAATTATTATGCTCTCTTCTTGAAGGAATGGTTCGGAAATACTTCAGTGGACAGCTGGTTCCATATAGTGGTGGTGCGAGTAAATGCCTTAAAAATCACACATTTGTGGAACGACGTCAAGGTGAAGTTCTTCTTCACTATGATAGCCACTCTCCTATCATCCATTGCAATAAACTATACACGAGCGGAAGTCCCGATCGGGTGTACCCATTAACGGTTCCACGGTGCCTCATTTAACCCAGCCTCGATAATTGCCACCACGTGTTTATTTCTAAGCATTCTAATTATATCACGCACAATGGCTTGGACACGTATTTTCGTCTTCGCTTCGTCAAGTCAATTCTGTACTCGGTCGGTGTTCGTTTGATTCATTAATGTTTTGTCTAATGAATTAGTGTTACGTGTTAATAAGAACTTTACGTCTTGTATAAAGTTTTTAGGTGTTTAATTATTTTTATGTAATTTATTATGAATATTGAATACCTATGAAAGAGGACTTACGGACACCATTTAGAGACTTTTAAAGATTTAATATAACCATACATAAAGGTTGTTTTGAATATAAAATATCAAAAACAGTTGCAGTCAAGTTTTTGACAAGTTCTTTACGACTTGAGTGACGATCAAATATTATACCTAAATTTTAAGATAAGTGATTTTGATTTAAACTGCTGAGAATGTTATTAAATTATGGTCAATATTTAACATTGTTTTCATGCGTTGAAAATATTTTTGTATGTATATGCTTTCCTAGATGAGTCGTAAGATTAATTTTAGTATCGCATCCAAGATATTTTTACTGTGACAGAAATACAATTTAAATATTAATAATTCTTATCTAAATTCTTATGTCATTTTAAACCCGAATTTATTATGTGGCGTTGAATAAGTTGTTTACATAAATAATAGACGTCGTAATATTTTTAACAAAATCCCCGTGGGTAACACGAACCGGTTGGGTTCGAATCGATAAAAGTGATATTGAAGATACGAAGCTCAAGATAACTTTTCTTACGGCTTTATTCGTAGTTTTGACCCATCTGAATATTTATACGGATGTGATGAAACTTCTAAGTCCCGTAATAACACAAGAATTCTTCAAGTAAGCTTAGCAATCCCAACTAATGTTTAGTGACAGTTTTTCTATTTATTTCAAAATAAAAGTTATATATATTTTACATGGTATAGTGTCGGCTGTACTGACTATTTGATACAATTTTCTGCCAATTTGCCTACTGTATTATTCATCTTTTTTACGCCATTGTAATGTGCTATGTGTATATTAAATATTAAAATAAAAATAATATATGAGCGTTATTTAAGAGCAAACCTATTTAGGAGGTACCTTTTGAGTCATTGTGTAAATGAGCCCATGAATGACACTCTCTTGGGAAGTGGGAAAGACAAGGATAGATAATTTATAACATGAGTAGGGTCTTCTATGACTGCAAACCGCGAAAATCACTGTTTCGGAAAAGAACCCGGGATCTCCAGCCAATTAGCGAAACAGCATCGATAAAAGGTATACTAATTTAACTGTTTTAAAAAAGAGTATTATGACAGCAAGTGTTTATTTCAAACTAATAGATAATTATTGGGTTGCCATAAATAGTAAAATCTATTTTGAAGACCTTTATACTACGCAAAATACTTTAGTTTATCAATTTAAAAAAAAAGGCTAATTATTTTAATCATTCGCGATGGTAAGCGGAAGTAACATAAATAAATAATTCCTAATTGTATTGTAAAATATAGTCTATGAATAAAAGCTTGCTAAGATATAAACTGTCAAGCAGCTTGAAAATTCGAAGTCATGTAAACGCGATCTTTACTTATCTTTTGTCCTATAACATTTAGCTTAACAAACTATAGACATTTTTCTTAAGCATTATTAAATGTTTTCAATAGAAGGGTTTGATTTTGAGCTTTAGGAAGAGCTTAACATGTAACCCAACGCGTCTGATAGGGATCTAATTGTCAATGAACCACACACGGAGCTTTTGTTTTAGTTTGTGGATGCGGGTTGAAGAATGGCTTGTGGGAACATGTGTTTAGTGCTTTTTTTACGTTCGATTTTTAAAAATCTCTTGACACCTTACATTGCAAGATGCCAAAGGCCTAGTTTCTTTATCACAATTGTCAGAAGATTATTTCTGTTTTTTTACACTACAATTTTTGCCAACCGTAACCATTCGTAGTAATGTAATGTAATATTGTACATAGAAAACTCTGGTATTTTTATAGAACATATCTGATGTTAAGTGATTTCGTCAACCGTGGACACTCAATACCAGAGGGCTCGCGAGTCCGTTGCCAGCCTTTAAGAATTGGAACGCTCTTTTCTTGAAAGACCCTAAGTCGAATTGGTAAAAAAGTCACTTAAGTCAAATGGCTTTTTCCCTACACAAAGTTAACATATAAAAACCTTTAAAAATAAAAAGGGCAGGAGGCTCATCTGATATTAAGTGATTAAGGCCCATGGACACTCAATGATAGAAGGCTCGCGAGTGCGCTGCTGGCCTTTTAAGAATTTGAACGCTCTTTTCTTGAAGGACCCTAAGTCCGTACCAATTCATAAAAGCCCGGCAACGCACTTGAGAGTCTTCTGGCAATGTGAGTGTCCATGGGCGGCGGTATCACTTAACATAAGGTGAGCCTCCTGCCCGTTTACCTCCTATTACATAAAATATATAAAATCCGTTAAAAATAAAAGCATTTACATCATAGTCATATATTAAGCCCATTGGGAAAGCTTTTATACTCGAACTTTCAAGTCAATAAATAAATTCCTTCCGCGCGTTTTTGTATTTCCAAGAATAATTTGTTAGCACGAGAAAACCCATAAATGTCCTATTCATATTTCATAGACTTGCTTCTAAACACGTCGCGACTAAACGTTCTTATATATTACTAACGGATGTTGACGTTTAAACCTCGTTTAAATATATATTTATATGCCACTATAATCTATATAGCCTTGCCTTCCTTTATTACCGGACTAATCACAAAAATCATTATTTGACCTAACAAACTATTTAACTAAAACACAATAACTTTTACGAATTCGAATTTTAAACGAATGTAATTAAATAGCCAGGAAAGTTTAAATACAAATTTCTTTGAATCTCCTATTGTATCTTTCTAAAACAATTAATCCAACCACTACTGAATCATTTCCAAATGAGTCCTTTATGCGCCAAATCAAAGAAAACTTTGTCCTTTTTAGTTCACTTCTTGAGCGAATATAAATACGAATTTATTTAAGTAAAAATCAAAGTTGCCCTTTCCAAAAGGTAGTTTCATGTGGAGAAGAATGGGCAAGAGCTCAATAGTTTAAAGTTTCTACACTATTAAACTTAAATGGCTTAATAGTGCTTGTAGCAAGATGACATCAAATTGACAGACAGCAATTTGATATCATATAAAAACCTATTGAAATTGTATATTAACGCCTTCTATTGGCGCGATGTTACTATATACAAAATTCCGCTGCATTATTGCTAAAATAATATAAAATATGAAAATCAGCGTTGGCCTAGTGGCTTCAACTCGCGACTCTCATCCGTGAAGTCGTAGGTTTGATACCCGACTGTGGACCAATGGACTTTCTATGTGCGCATTTAACATTCGTTCGATCTCTGAAGGAAAACATAGTGAGGAAACCGGCTTGCCTTAGATCCAAAAAATCGACGGCGTGTGTCAGGCTCAGAGGCTGATCACCTACTCTCCTATTAGATTATTTGTCAATCAAATCTGAGGCCCAAACCTAAAAACGTTGTAGCGCCACTGATATATTTTTATTTTGAAGTATAAACTAGATATACCAAGTTCCCGATTTATTAATAGTACGTTATTACAATAGACCTCTGTGAAGACCGGAAATACCAATTTATGACCGGAACTCGTTTAACGAGTGGCCGTCATAGATTTTTTGTTCAAGGGCCAGTGCAGTGATTGTTTAAATAGAAGACTGCCGATCTCAATAACTTTAGTAAACCAACTTCGCCAACAATTTAAATTGTCTAATAAATTTAATATTACCTAGTATAGATATTTTGGGAACTAGCAAGTATGAGCTTTTGTGTTTCCTATAAAAAAAATAAACAATTACAATGTTATTAATATACCATTCCTATCTTAAATAAAGTTCTTTATTGGTCATACAGAATATACTAAAGATAGCCCCGATTTAAAATTATTATTTTAGACATTACATTTACGCAAGTAGATAATGTTATTGTACAAACGCATGCTGTTTCAAATGAAAGAGATTCTATAGCTCATACTCCGATAGGGCATTGGGTTCAGAATCCTCCAACTTCCTTATTGGTTCCGGTCAAAGGTTTCTACCAAAACCACGTATTTGAACCGAAGCACAGATCTGCTTAAAGGCTGATGTTAGGCTTTTACAAAATTAAGTGTTTTAAGGCTGTTTATGTTGCCCTTTTACATACTATATGTTGCCTATATAATATTTATTCATTCATTTGTAAAACGTATATACAAAATGAACACCTAAATAATTAAGTAAGTATTACAGTAAACACAATGGTGAAATAAAAATTGAGAATGTCACTGTAAAAAAACTGTTGAGCAGTGTTGGCCTAGTGGCTGCAGCGAGTGACTCGCATCCCTGAAATCGTAGGTTTGATCCCCGGCTGTGCACCATTGGACTTTCTTACTATGTGCGCATTTAACATTCGCTCGAATGGTGGTCTAACACCCAAAAAGTTGACGGCGTGTGTCAGGCA